CCTGGGAAATACCAAGATGTACCAAAGCATGCGACCCCGATTCTGGTGGAGTAAGATGAAAAAAAAATTGTTGATTTCATGTCCAAATGCCTAATATGTCAACAGGTCAAGACAAATCATCAACACCCAAGTAGGCTAGTTTAGCCACTACCAATTCCAGAATAGAAAGAGAAACATATCACTATGGACATTATAATAGGATTGCCGAAGGCATATTCGGAACACGATAAAATCTGGGTAATTGTTGATCGACTCTCTAAGTTCTCCCATTTTCTATTTATCATAATAATAGAACCTTTAGACAAGTTAGCTATAATTTATATTTGGAAGATAGTCAGACTGCATAGAGTTTCAATGACAGTGGTATCAGACAGAGATCCCAGGTTTATCTTTAGGTTTTGGACAAATTTTTAACAAACAATGAGAACGAAATTGTCTATCAGTATGACATTCCACCCCTAAACAGATGGAGAATCAGAACAAACTATCCGCACACTGGAGGATATGTTCAAGGCTTGTGTTCTAAATTTCAGAGGGTATTGGGATGACCATCTATTCCTGGTAGAGTTTGTTTACAATAAAAGTTATCAGACAAATATTGGTATGATTTCGTATGAGACATTGTATGACCTACCTTGTAGATCACCGATCTATTGGGAAAAATTAGGTAACAGGAAATTGATTGACTCAGATCTTATAGATGAGACCACTGTGAAAATTGTTAAAACCAAGAAAAATATTCAAACGATCCAGAATAAATAAAAGAGTTATGCAAATACCCAAATGATAGATTTAGAATTTAAAAAAGACGATCGAATGTTCATTAAGGTCACCCCTTTTGAGGGTATTACTAGGTTGAAAAAAGAAAAAAATTGAATCTTCGGTTCATCGAACCATTTAAAATTTTAGACAAAATTAAGATATCCACCTACAGACTAACACTACCTCCAGAACTATTCAGAGTCCATAACGTTTTTCATATGTCAATGTTGCACAAGTATAACCCTGACACCTCATATATTTTGTCTTATAAGTCACTTCCACTTCAGGAGGATTTATCTTATGAAGAGGTACTTATTAGTATTTTGGACCGAAAGAGTAGAATATTTCGCAATAGAAAAATTCCATTTATGAAGGCTACATGACAAAATCACTCGCAGAACGAGGCCACCTAGAAGTTGGAATTAGACTTTAGGACTAAATATCCTCAATTGTTCAACTAGGAGGCAATAATTTGAAAGACCAAATTTTCTTTAGGAGATGAGAATTGTAACACTCTGAGTCCAAGAATGAGGCTCGCAATGTAGAAATTTGATGTTTTTCTAATAACGAAAATAAAGGAGTTTTATTTTTTATTTACGTTTATTATTATTTTTTTGAGAAAAATACATTTTAGACGTTTTTGAAACAAATTTCAGAAGTTAAGGTCAAATTATAAATAAGGGGAGGGTATGTTTGAAAGAAATCTAGAAAAACAGGGCTGCTTTGTAAATTAAAAGAAATGAGCCACGTAGGATGGTCACGTCAGTAGCATGACGAGTCAAAATACATCATGTGGTGGACATGCTGGTATGGGCTCTATGCGGGAGCCACACGGGCGATCCGCGTGCCAAGGCAATTTAACGGCTTGTGCTCACTCCCGCACACACGAACAGTCTAGATTGATTTTTTGGATAAGTGAAATTAGTCGATCCATGCGTCTTTGATCGAACGGTCCAGATTAATTTCTCGGATAAGCCTAATCGAACAATTCACGTGTCTCCAATCGAACAGTCCAGATATGTTCCCCAAATAGACGTGATCAAACGGTCTCCGTTGTGCCATGTGGACCTGCACAGACGGACCTGATTGAAGAATGTGAGGTATTTAAACCTCTTCTACTCAGCTCCCCAAAACCCTAGCTGCTGCACCCACCAGATAAGAAGAATAAGGGCGGTTGAAAAAAAAATCAGCCACCAAAAGAAAGCAGGTGCTACCGTGCCAGAAGAGCAAAACACTCCGATAAGCTTGAAATTCCTTTATGTTCTTCCCATTTCTCTGCCATAGGCCCTTTAACGAATTTTTGATGCAGAGTAACCGAGGGAAGTCGCAACATGCGAGGAAGGAGTGACGGAGCTCGACTGAGCCACCACATTAGAAAGCCAAAATCGTTGGTAAACTTCAGTTTTTCCCCTTTTTTTGCCGATAGATACCTCATAACCATTGTTTAAATATATTTTTACCATGCATCGGCCGAAATTGGCTTAACTGAGAGGAGGAGCCGCCGGAGAAGGATGACTGGGCAACGAAGCACGGCGGTGCCGCTG